CATTTCCGCATAAACCAGAAATAGTTTTTCTTGACAAAGGAAACGAAGAGGCGCGGGAGCGTTCAAACATTACTAAAGCAGTTTTGCATAAACTCTCCTGTCTTTTAGAAAAAATCACAACAGAGAGCACTGTAAAAAAAAAACGTAGAGTACAAAACCAAAAGGGTTTTTAGTTTTCGTTCCAAACCCGAAAAGGGTTTATTTCAAACATAAAAAAACTAAAAAGCGTTTTGTAATCACTACAAAACGCTTTGGTTTTGTACAAAACGGTATTTCTAATTTTTTGTAATAATAATTCGGTATTGTACAATACGGTTGACGTTTTTGAATTAGTAGGAAATACCAGCACAGTTTTTCGGTCTTCTGCGAAACCCTCTTCGATTTATCTGTTCCTGGAACAACCGAAGCTGATTTAGTACAATCCTTTCTTTGAACCATTAAAAAACCCAACCGTTCTGCAGCAATACTACTAAATCATCGGGTATTTCGTTTTTTCCTAAAAAACGCAATCGGTTTTCTAATCAATGATGTTGAATTTTTATAATATCGTTTTTGGGAGCATGAAACCCATCGGTCTTCATCTCTATTTTGAATTAATTCCTCAGTTAGACAGATGTTCTCAGAAACCAGCAGAGTTTGAACTAATACCATATTCTTTTTATTTTTGCTGCTTCTTTTTTCCAGATATAGAATTGAAAGCATTTACAGTAGGTATTTTTCTTCTGACGTAGGAATGTTATCTTAATATTGGGTTCAGGCGGTATTAAGCACTGACTGGGGCTCTTCTCTTACCACGTCATCAGTTTCTCGCCGAGGTCTCTCGGGTCTCAGAGGTACCGATATCAGATTCTTGTTTTTTAGATTAAGATGCGCTATCGGATAGTATTAGTAGTTCTCTGTAGGTACTTCAGTAGGTAACTTTGTTTAGACAACCAGTTCATTGATATACGTTGTTGTTTCTGCTTTTTACGAATTTGCCGTTGCGTAAACAAAAGTTGTTGCTTTTAAACTGCTTTCGCTCAAGATATTAGTGATGAATCCGTTCTCATGGAGCGATAATGAAAGGTTAAAATGGTTAAAAGAATTCATGTTCGATGAAGAAACGATTAAGAATTTTGAAAGTAAGTGGACTGTTATGACAAAACAGAATATTTTTGAGAAGCAAGTGGAAGAACAATGAGTCTACAAGCTTCTTATAATTTGACTATGTTCAGGAAAAAAATAATCGTTAGCCTCAAATATCTTTGTGATTGCGTTGAGATCCTTTTTCTGTGTACTTTGTTGGCGGCATTTGTTTGGGCATTATGCACTAGTTTAGCATTTGTCTTCCTAAAGCAGCCGCTTTACTCTCATAAGAACCACATGTTGCCTTTGTTTATATGTTATCGCTTATGTGATGTTGTTTTGTTGCTATTATAAGATTAAACAGTTACAACATGGCAGAACAAAATTTTCATTGTGTATTCTGTCTTAACAGAAGACGGTTTTCAAATTTCCGTAGTCTTTTCAGTCATTTATCTGCATATCATTATTGCGAACCAGATTTTAAATTAAGTTGCGCTTTATCATCAAAGTGTGGGAAAACTTACTCAACTTACAGTGCCTTTAAATCTCATGTGTATAGACAACACTCAAATTTGTTACAAAACCAAATCGAAGTAACAGAAACAACAACAGATGAAAACGATGATTTATTAGTTGACCCACTCAGAGATGACCAGGAGATTCACAATCATGAAGAAGAAAGTGACGATGATAAGAATGAGCTGTCACCCGCTGATGTGTATTATGATGACAGCAACGAAGAAAATGATCTTTCTAATGACACTCTCCCAATATTTGAATCTCATAAACAATATTCAATGGATGATTTTCAAAAACAATTTACCCGTTTTTTACTCGAACTTCGAGAGGAACACTTGTTGCCGTTGGGTATTATACGATCGATTAGTGACAATGTTGTTTATTTATTAGACATTGTTTTCAATTTAATATCACAAAAAACGGAAAAAGTTGTTAATCAATCAATAAATAACGACAGAACTACAACAGGTACAACAGTGGAACACTTTGATATGATTTTGGGTGTATTAGACAACGTCCCTGATACTGTTGAACGTACAACAAAAAGTGAGTATCACTTTCACAAATTATGTGTAAAATTTTTCAATTATTTATCACCGAAAGAAATACCGCTTACACCAGTACAATCGCCGGTACCAATACAAGCAAAAGTGAAGCAAGATTATGCCTATTATATTCCACTTCACCAGTCGTTATATCGTATATTGTCAAAAGAAGAAATGGTACCATTGTTAATCCACAATATTCGACAACAAAAAGAAAAAGTGATTAAAGATGACGATCTTATGTTCTCATTTCGTGATGGCAAATTTGGAGAAAATATCAACGACAACTGTTTTTTATTGCAACTCTACACCGATAGATGAGTCAGTAATCTTGACAGAAATACCTAAGGGGCTACTCAGTTTGCCTCACTTGCGCTATGTTCATTCTTAATGATGACGGCTAATTTGCTAATATGTTAGTGTTGGCTTAACAAATCCAATTGGTCCCCAGAAAGCTTACTCGCACAAGCTTACTTTTTTCTATTACTTACTCGAAGATATTCCAGATATTTTTCGTTCTTTATTACAATGCATCACACTATTAGCCGTTGTTAATACCAATTATTTGAAGGATAAGGAGCGTTCACGACGTTTTTATAAACCAATTATTGAAGATTTGAACAGATTACAATCAAACGGGTTAACAATTGACACGTTCGATTCACAATTATTGTTTAAATTTACGTCGATATCGGGTGACAATCTTGCTGCACATAACATTGGCAATTTTCAACAGTCGTTCAGTAGCGGATATTTTTGTCGCCGGTGTTTGGTTTCTTATAAACTTCGAACAGTTCCGTTGACAGATTTATCCTTTCTTCCTCGAAATGAATCACAACATAATCATTTTGTTCAGATGACAAGAATCAATAATCAATCGGTATATGGCATCGTCGGCGAAAGTGATCTTAACGAGTTGAACGGTTTTCATCCAACTACTTCATTACCAGGCGACGTCATGCATGATTATTGCGAGGGTACCTGCCCAATGATCATCATGTGTATGTTAAAAGAAGCCTCTCGGAAGAAACTTCTAACATACGCCCAAATAGAAGAACGCACAGACAATTTTATCTATGGATCAAATGACAAATCCGACAAACCACCCACGATTCAAATCAAACATATAATCAAGGAACGTCTCTGTGGAAGCGCATCACAAAAGCTATTGTTATTTCGATTATTCCCTATTATCTTTGCCGACGTCACTGATCAGTTGGAAACATTTGCTATTTATCTGGTATTACGCGAAATGGTGGAAATTGTTTTAGCCCTTCCCATTAGAAAGAGTTGGCTATCGTACTTGAAAACATTAGAAATTCGTTTTCAGTGTTTATTATCGGCATTATTACCGGATGAAATGCCCCCGAAGGTGCACTTTTGTTGCGAATATTCCGGCATTATTCGTGATTTCGGTCCACCAGTTCGTTATTGGTGTATGAGATACGAAGGACGACATTTTTATTTCAAGAAAATTGCATTAAGAACGGGCAATTTCAAGAACATATCAAAAACGTTATCAACACGTAATCAGTACAAGCATTGTTTATTGTTAAGTAAATGTAAATTTTTAAAGTTATATAACGAAACATCATGTGTTAAACAAACAAAATTAAGTAATTGCGATGGTGATGTGAAACAACTTTTATATGAAAAATTTGACATTGAATGTTTATCATCATCAAGAAGAATTCTGGAATGTCAAGTATTAATCCATAATCACGTCGCGTATAAACAGAATTCTGTTATGGTGTATGATGTCATTCACGAAGAAGACACACCATTATTTTTACGTATTCATCACATATTCAAAATTAACACAAATTGGGTATTAATTATTGAATATTTGACAACCGAGTTGTTTGATTGTCATTTATCCGCGTATGAGTTGACAGCAACTGGTATCCTCAAAGCTATTTCTCCGAATGATATAGAATATTATCATAAACCACTGGATATTTACCTCGTGAATGGTGTTTCGTTTGTTAGTCTTTCGTCTCGTGTGACAAAACATTAATCAGTAGGTTATTCTTGATAATGCAAACGACAGCAAATCCTTTATTTCTCTGTAATAGACTCAACAATAAATAGAAGTATAAACACTTCGAAAATCTTTTCTTGCTCTAGGTTTCACGTTGCTATGTTGCTTATTCGCGTTGTGCGGTAGTAGTTTAACATAGCAAGTTTAATGTTTCGTAAACACATGCCGGTGTCTCAACTGGTTTGATAGCTTCTATCCTCACAATACATCTTTTTTATTTCAGTTGCAAAGATTGATGGTGAAACCTTATCAATGATGACCACGCCTGCTATTATTGGGAATATTTTCAAAACATTTAAACATCAAACCAAGTTTCTTCACGAAAGAGATCGTTTATTTTCTGCTAGTGTATTATCATCGCTGACTAGTACTCCACCACTATCACCACTACGACCAACTACAACTCAATCACCATTACCTGATTATCTCGATATTGATGCACAACATATTCAAGATATTCTCGATACTACGGACCAGTCGAATCTAACAACAGCTGTGCTAACGACCTCGGATGTTACAGATATCGTTAAACAAAAAAGGTCGATTCCGGATGACTATTCGATACCTACATTACCATCATCTCTTCAAGAAGCAATTAGAAACGGAGATATGAAAAAATTTGACAATCATTGTAATCACCGGAGTGTTCTAATCGAAACAATTGTTCATGACCTTACGGAAAAGTGGCAACTATGGTATGCTTATCTGTTTTTTTCCTGCCAATATACCATTTCCGTTAAGTTACTTGAGTTGGAAAAGGTACTATTGTGAGACAGAAAATTTATTAAGAGAATAGAAGAATAAAATCGCACAAGCATGTTCATTTCTTGAAAAATGGCCATAACTTCCATATTCTCTTTGTTTCAGGTATCCAGACAAAAAATGATTATACTAACGTGACAAGAGGCATATTAAATCATTTAAAAATTCCAATTACAAACGACAATATGGTGCGATCCTCACATCTTGTTGAGAAGTATTATTTTATTTAATTATAGTTTATTTTTATCTCTATTTAAGAATTCATGGAAGAATTCTATCCAATCAAAAATGAAACAGCAACGCAGACCGTTGGCAACAACAAATAGTGAAATTATGGAAGCGAAGAAAAAGTATGCGCATGAAAAATCTGGACGACCTATAAAGGTCAACGAAGAAAAGTATGCTGAAAGAAGAATTGATCGATTGGTAAGACAATTCTTCCTAAAATATCACACTATGGAGGTATAAAATTTTGTTGGCTGATTTTATTTCAGGCTATTATTCAAAGCGATATGAACAGTGAAGATATCCAGAAAAGTATCGAATCGATCACAAATGAATTAAAGAAGGATGAACCCGATTGGGAGAGTGTGTTGATAGCTTGGGAAACAACACTGAAGGAGCGTCGTATTTTTGTTGTAAGAAATAAAATTGGTGATGTATTGGAGCTGTATTCCGGCTATAAACACAAGGAACTGGTATGTTAGCTTCTTTATTGAGATAAAGAATAAATCTTCAAAGGTAGATCATTAATTCTCTTCGAAATGCAAAGGAAAAGGAATGTTCTCTATTATTCAATACTTGTAAAATCTCGTATTTTTTCTTACTGTACTCATACTATTTAAGTTTCACGAGCCTGGTGTTTTCCTATTTTAGATTTATCATGAAGTCAAATTAATTTGTGGTTTGGATGTATTAGAAAAAACAAGAGCATGTATTGATTTAGTATATAATAAAATGAGTTCAAACGAAAAAAAGTTATTTGTCACGGGTAAGCTATGTCAAGATACACTAACACTTATGCATTTACTCTTGTTCTGCTTCTTTTGTAGATCCGTTACCATTTCGTGTGATTAAACTATTATGCAAACGATTGAATGAATCGTGGAAACATATATTGATTCGAGA